ACTGTTTTCCGGTTGACGTGTATTTGATAATTTTAGAGAAGTCAGAAAATAAGTTAGATCAACTGAGTTTTACTAAAAGCTTTCTAACTTCCTTGTAGGACACTGTGCGCAAAAGAATTATGCGACGCTTATTTTGGAGAAAAAATAACTTGTTAATCCTTGGCATTGTGTGCTTCGGTCTACTGTTGATTTTATGGATAAGTACAGACAAGCCTGAGCATAATAAGGTTCATAAAGACCGTGCACATCTGCCTGTTGACAAAGCACCAGAGGAGGCGCTTAAACAAGGTGGTGACTCTCAAGGACTAGATGCAGCCTATAAGTACCACGCGGAAAATCCAATTCCAAGACCAGTGGCTAATGCTCCACAATTTCCAAATGTCCGCCTACATCCGCCTATCGATAAAGATCCGGGTAAGTTATCCATAAAGTATAATAGGAATAATGTTACTCCTTATTTTCTTCTATTAGCACGTTGTTGTGATGCATCTCTTTCGTTAGCCTTCTTTTTTCACTCTTCATTATTCTTGTGTCTGGATAATGATGATCAAATGTATAATATCCCCTGTGAACTTAACAAAATTAATTGTAGAGTTCTTATATTCTTATCGGACTGCTGTCTTTAGGTTTATTCTATAAACATTTACAGCAATAGGACTGCTCTCACTATTGTACAAATATTCTCATTAATATGAATTCGACTTCTCCTCGTTCTATCTTTTTGTCTGTCTTTATATGGCTGTATTTCCATTTCTCTTTTTCGGGGTCATTGGAAGATTTGAAGCGGTTTAATTCTGTTCAAAGTTTCCCAGTGACGTATTGGTCTTTATGTTTAATATTCCGAGTATCTTAAAGGTCTTTGTTTGTCCGATTTTATTTATCTTAATATGTGGTCACTGGTAGCTTTCGTTTGAGTAATTTTTCAAGGTGCTTCAATTGGAACAGTTACAGCTTTGTATCATATTCCATTTGATTACGTTTGACTATTTTCCTACCTGTTCAAGAAGTTAATACTGGAATATTACTGTTGAAATTCATGGTTATATATGATGCACATCTATCCCATTGGAAATTGAACACCTTGTCAGGATAGTATTCACCTGAAGAAGATATACCGTGTCACTGCTTTCCCTTTCTTATATAAACACTTGGTTTGTGTGTCTGTGATACATCTTATACATGTCCGAAATTAATGATTGTAGCTTTAATATTTCACATAGAAAAGGTTTTTGCTGTGTTTCATATTTGATTGATCAGAAGTTGTGCATCTTCACCATACGTGGTATTCCACTTATTCATTTCAGTGAATACTGGAAATAAATAGTCGAGGTGGAAAAAAGAATAAAAACTTGGTTGCATCTGTCTCTATCACCTAATTCTTGTAGATTATGTAGCCTTTATTTGACAGTTTTACTTTCGTTTGTTTTCATGCCTGGCTACTTTCGATTTTTCACTCCCTCTGCTTATCATACCTACATTAGTTTGGTGATTTGAAGCATAACAAGATTTAATTTTGTCATATCCTAATCTGGGCTTTGATTATAATTATGGATTCATTTCATCTTTCCCTTTGTGTATCTTCTGTCAATCTCGACTTTGTTGTTTTGCATTCTTCTGTGTCAACTTGCTTGTCTCGTAGATGAATCGGCTCAACGTACAATGATTCGTGGGGAGCTATGAAGCTGTAGTTGACTGACTTGGACACTTGACTTTCATCTCAATGTCATTAACGAAGTCAAAACCATGTGCGTTTGATTGTTAGGTTGAAGAACCAGTATATGCTCGTTTGTCTATGAATAGCTGTTCTATCGGAAAGAGTATCCTACTATAAGGTTGGACAAAATCACAAATATTCAAATAAAAGGCATTCGGTAGTACGATATAGTGTACTGTTAATCGGCAAATATAAACAAGCCTATCAGAAGGGTTTCAAATAGTAGTTTGACGGATAAAGGAACAAGCATCTACGTTGGCGAAAAGTGGATGAGGCAGAAATGTTAATTATTTTTAAGGTCATAAAGAACGAATACATTGCACCATCTTTTAGGATTTTATGGTTTGTCACCGTCGGTGTTTAGCAATTCACTTTTAATTTTCTTGAGGTTTCCACCTAGACAGTCGGTATTTCCCCCATAAATTTGGGATCAAAAATCAGAGACACTACATGTACAAGTCATTTGGACTCGATCAATTTTTCCCTGTTGTTTAGTCAGCTGAATAATAATCACATAATTGTGTCAACTTTATTGTTTTTGCGGTTGTTATTATTATCGAAACACGAACATGACATTATTATGGAAACCAAGAGATACGCCACACAAAAAAATAGTAAAACAGCAATATCTAAGGAAAACAGAGAATAAATGAGAGAGGTCATCCAGTAAGCAAGTGAACATATTAGTCCGTGTCATCCATCATTCGTTATTTCATGTTGGCTTCAGAAAGGAAGCGAGAAAGAAGGAAATTGCAGCATGTCTACCATTGACTGTGATTCTCAACCATATCTGATAACGTTTCGATCCACTGATACGAATTCAGACTACCAACTATAACTACTCAAATCGATCAGATGGACGAAGATTTCAAATAAGAATGAGAGGCTTGAGAAAGGGAAAACATTAGGAATCGTAAAGTTGACATAAACAAAGTTGAAAAGGATCACACTGCTAGAAATATGATCGGAGATATAGTCTGTAACAGTGAGTGCATGATTACAGTCTCTCATGAAATCGTTGTCTGATAATTTACGCCAAATAAACATCGCTTTTTAACTTTTGTCCTTATAGTTCCTGGAGAAGTACAACTAGACCTTGCCAATGAAATGATAATGATGATGAACTTCATTTTCGTGATATAATACCTCCTGCTGATGAACTGGAAGAAAATAATGCAGTTATTCAACCTATGGATTCTGACAATAAAGTGGACCTAAAACATGCCCAGCATGCTGAGCATAGTAACTCAAACGGGTTATCAGCCATTGCGAAATTGGGTTTATTTCCGAGTTCTCCACCTCCAAAAAGCGACGAACATTCAACCGGTCCTGGTATGTATAACTTTCAGCTGTTATATGTATATGTCTATATAGTTACACATCATAGAATTACCGCTTCTTATCTAATCTTTTTTAGTTTATGCCGATAGTTCACGCTTGGTAGATTTCAACAATCCAGAGAGGATATTTGTGTGTGTGTGTGTGTCAGATACGCTTTATAAAATACTGGTGATACTAAATGGGAGTCTCACTGTCGATAAAGATACAAATATCAGTGAGTATGATTCATTAGGATCTTGAAGTTAACATCTTTAGAGGTGTTTCAGTTTATGAGGTGATGAGCGTTCTGTCATTATTGTTATTATTATTGTTATTTATCTTCTTTAAAACACTAACTTGATACAATTTGCCATCATAATATGCACAGCACAAATTGATAAAATAAGAATATAGGAAGGAGAGACGCAAAAAGAATCAAGAACAACAGAAGAGAAAATAATGAGCATGGTTGTGATGAACATGTATAGAAGTGCGTTCATTGTTTCAAATAAACTTCAGAAATAGAGGAAAGGAGAGGAAGTTGTAGGATACAGGGCATAGATTTCGATTCTCTATTTCGATTTTTCATTTAGTCTCGAATCAACACTTTGCATCATCTGTTGTAACCCGCTCCAGGAGTTGTGGTGTCATAACATATACTAATCCAATACAAATGTCATTCAAATGTCGCACGGTGTTGCATTGTGGACTGACCACCTTTCCACTTTTCCACTTAGTTCCAGGGTTAGCCAAGAGTGGACAGTTTGGTAGACACTGGAATGTCATTCTTTGTGCACTTCTAGCCATAGAAGCCCGTGTCCCAAGGTGACATCAAGTACTATGTGATGGGGAAACACAAGCTATCAAAACTTAGAACAACTTACATGAGAAATTTTCCGGAAGGAAGCAATTCTGCAGGTCAGTTATGATCAGACACACAGTCGCCACGCATCCTTAGCACAAAGACACAAGTTCACAGTCTGTACTTTCTAAGAAATTGTGAAACCGGTATTTTACGGTAAGAATAACTTGGCGATAGGGGTAGCCGATGTTGATGTACTCTCGCCCAGATTTCACTACACAGATAGAAATTACACCGGTCACACAGTCAATAATCACATAACTACCTTAATACGTGAAATCTACAACTCCTTCTAATGGTTCGCTGTAAGAGAGAGGGAGAGTTCAGACACAGGTTTCTGCCAATCCTACAATATGACTAATAGTTCCCCAAGGTGTATGTGAAAAGTCGTAAAACTGTATGAACAAAGGCATCTTTGGACAGTTACAGGTACAGGTAGACCAAGAGATTGCTTTACAATGGACTGTCAATTTCCACTTTTCCATGGAACTCATCCAAGCAGATGTAGGATCGTTGTAGACCGAAATGTCTGAAAATACAAGCCTAAGTAAGCAGTTACGAGTCCAAGTAACGTTACTGACTAATAATCTGACATCAAAGAAAGTAAAATTATCCTAGACCGCCTTATAGATATCCTTGTTTTAGTCAGCAATTACACACACACATTTCTTCTTACTAAGGAGTAATTTATCGTTCATAGTTCTGTAATTAGTTGTAGGAAAGTGAGACACTAATAATGACTATCTACAGCATATGAATCAATAAAATCACATCCATTTTCCGAAATTTGTTTATGTTCTTTTTGGGTACAGGAAAATGTCTTTCATGTAGCCTTCCTAATGTGTATGTAGTTTTGTTAGCCTCTGTTATCGTATTGTTCATTTTTATGTTTCATCGGTGCTAATGCTTTCGTTATTATTGCTATTATTATGTTCATTTGTTGCAAGCATACCATCTGGTGGTAGGTATTCCTGTCTCAATTTAAGATATTATCACTAATAATCATTCGTTTGATGATAAAAACGAAATACTGCATACGCATTAAACGGCTTTTTCTCTTGATAAATCATGTTTAATCCACTCATATGAATAATCGCCATCGTCATCAAAGGAGTCTAAAGTAGAAAGATCTCTTCGATCGTTAGTTTTGTCTGGCGAACGTGTTTCTCACAGTGACTTTTTCGTTATATCATGGTATTCTAGTAGTCATTCAACTTCCTTACTCGATTTTTGTATTCGGTGATCATATTACCCCCAACTAGTTTTACCTTGTGACATATGCAGTTTCTTTTTCATTTTGGACAAGGCGAAGGTGGTCAAGCGTACAAAGTGGAACGTGAAGAGCTTCCACCAGGTGAACGTGAAAAATTCGATCAAGGATGGAAGGTTAATGCTTTCAATCAATATGCTAGTGATCGTATCAGTGTTAGACGATATTTACCAGACTATCGAGAGGGAAAGTAAGTTAACTTCGATGCTTTGAAATGATTTGGTTAGATATTTTAACGTCGAAAGTATACTATTTTGTATTTAGTTTTTTTTATACAGAATGTAGGTTGTTGGTGAATCAGTTTGTCGTTTGACTGGAAACAGGTAGAAACGTTTAGTAATTATTCTTTCTAGGATCTGTGTGTTGTGTATTCTTTTGATATCTTGTAGTTGTGGTTGATTCGTTCATGAGTTGTACTACTAGATAGCAGGTTTTGCGTTGAGAAAACTCTTATTGATCTGATAAAGTATTTGGCGACAAAGTAGTATCACTATTATCTCACAGTGTAGTGTATGAATTTTTGGAGTCTCCTCCCTAGAAATTTTATAGTAGTGGTTGGTTTCTAAGGGTGTTTTCAGGTTAATATTTCAGGGGAGGGGTATTGTTTAGATGGCATTCACCAGACTCATTTCAACTCTGGACTCAGCCAAAGCGTATCAATGTAAGTGATAGTCATGGGGGTTCAGTAAAAGACTTGCATTCAATCTAAATCACGTTCTTGGATAGTTATGACTTGTTAATCTGTAAAGTCGTATGTCTACGCTGTAATGAATACTGGGAGAGAAATAGAAAATCTCTGTGAGTCCTGTTTGTTGGTGAGAATACTAAGACTGTGTGATTGCTGGAGAATGGCAGTGTTACTTCTCATGGAGAAGTCTGGTACCATTTCTACTCTGTTATAAATCATTGTGGGTTATTGTTTATTGCTATTTGGAGGGCCAGTTACAAAGTGTGTATGAATTCTATGAGGGAATTTGCTTAGAAAGATCTTTGGTTTTCCCCTTGTTACGTAAAACTTTTGATAAATTTGCTTATAATCCTGATACATGGAGGTAATGGGTTTTCTGAGCACTTTTATTCGTAAAATGGAAAACTTCTATTACAAATCTTTTACTCCTTATTTGTAAATTGTTATTTCAAGATAAGTATGTTCGGATATTGAACGTGACCGTGAGCAGTGAAGTGGTTACATGCCTCAAGCATTGTAGTTATTAGGTATTTTGATCAACTGCAATGGACTAGTAATCAATGAAATTTCAATACGGTCACACAACATTCATCATTTGTTTTTTATCATACTTGACCGAAAAGCTTCATCTATTAAGTAAACGTTACATGTACTGGGAATCAGTTCCCTATTTCCTGACGTGTGGATGGAAAACACGGTTGTTTAAAACAAATCTGTGAAGGCTGTAAATATCTGTTCTCTGACAGTTGTGTTTGTAGAGTCGATAAATGAGCAGAGTGAAAGTTAGTTGTATAAATCTGGGTAATATGAGTAATTCAGATGAGGAAGGTGCGAATTTCTATAGTTCAAATATTTTGGAGGTATATTTGACACGTGGAAAGTTGCTGTCCACTCCCAAAATAAAAGTAGAATGACATTTGAAGGAATATCTGAATGGAAAGATGAAGAAAAGACCCCAATCCACTAAATCACCATCAGTCTCATCGTGTGAGGAAATCTAGATTGTCTGATATGGGTTTACGTGGATGTCATAGAATATTTTTAGAGAATTCAGGCTATATGATTCACAATCAATTATCATGATACAAATCCCCTCATGTCTTCATTTGAGTTGTGGAGGTGTAGCTGATTGACCTTAACAGTCAGCCTTAATTAATGTTTGAACATGGAGCGTGACAGTTCGAAGTGTAGTGTAGTGTAGCACTGCTAGGTCTTGTGTTGATAACATCATTTGGTCAGCTGTCTATCTTCACAGCACAATGCTACCGAGGTTATTTAGATAGCGTTATCTGGTAATTTGTACAAATATTTAAGTGGAAATATTCTAGTCATCACAGTGACTAGTCTTAATATGAATGTGGGATTCAAGTAATGGTTAGTTGTTTTCATTAAGGCAGTGTGCCTTAATAATTGTATTTGTTAGAGAACTATTCAAGACTACAATGCACTAGACGTCTGTCTCGTTCTTGTTGTGGTCTCCTCAGAAATGCCTGTTCGTTACTATCCAAGGGACTACACTGAAGGTAGTTAAATTTTGAGTCAAGAACAAGACCACTTAACCACTCAGCAGAAATCCTTATGTTAGTGAATTTCAGCCTTCCCAGATATAGAAACACCAAAGTCGTCGTTGGGTGAGGGAGGAAATCTTGTTTACCCCCTTCAGTCACGAATTATTATCATTATAAAAGTTTCTCGAAGCTATTTGTTAATTAATGCTGACATGGACTTGACGAGTATCAAGTAAGTTAGTTCGTTATTTGAAAACGATTGGTGCCGAAACGATCTTCAAATTCGCTTTCAATTTACAACTTTCTTTAAACAATTTTCCATTCTGAAATCAGCTCATTTATTATTAACGTGTTCATCGATGTACAATAAATAAATAAATAAACAGAGGAAAGTGAATGGTATTAATAATAATAGTGATAAAGGAGCATAGCAATTTGTTATTGTCATATAGACATTTAGTGAATCATCATTAGTTTGTCCACCATCGATGCCTGTTAGCTATTAATTAATTAACACATATTCAATCGATTGCATCACATTATTTATAACACTGTCCCACTATTAACTATACTTGAACTTTGTAATATTTAATGACGCAGTGTATGTGTATATGTGAAACTTTGAGTTGATTTACGTCTGTTTCTATATCTCTGAGAGATATTCGGCTGTAACAAGATATCGTTTTTGTTTGTTTGTAAAATAGATGTTTGAAGTGAGGTAATAAATGTGTTTGATGAATTCACTATTTGTCGAGTGAAAGTTTGTAGAGATTTTCCCGTGGATTGATATCAGTTAGAGAATCATAGAAGACCATCAATTTTCACTAGTAACTGACTACAGGACAAAGTTGCCTGTAGAGAGTTCTAGTGAGAAGTCATGATCAGTGGGGGCGATCAGGTAGGGAATGAGGACAAACACTTGTCGATGAGATTGGCTGGTGGTGTTGTTAAAATCATAAATCGGCAGAAGCTAGAATTCATGGGGTGGACATTGAGTTAGTTGTGTTCTGGTGGCTGAATGGTCTAGGAGCTGGAGTTGGAACCAGAAGTTCCTGGGTTCGAGCCGTGGTGGTGGGTTCGTAATGTCGGTTAGTCCGAAAATAGGAAGAGACAGATGTCTAGTACTCCGTGGTTCTCAGTGGTTCTCTATCTGGTATCAATCCGCGGGCAAACTTGAATTCATTATTGAACAGAGTGTGGAATTCAGGTGTAGTTTGTTAAGTGATTCGGTTGACGAATGTATCAAACCCCATTTGGTACATGCTTTGCACACAATCAATTCACTGTTTACATGAATGTTGTGTTTTACTGGATATAGTGAAGGGTGATCATCTTAGAATGTAGCATCGATAGTACTGACATGTGTGATTAGTGAATTAGTTAGCGAAGCCGTCTAGTCATTAGTCCCTTTATTAACTCCTAAGTACTTCATTGATTTGACGTTTTATTTCTACTGAGTGAGCGTTGTGGTTTAAGAGCTTAACTTCCAACCATTGGGTTCCTGGCTCGAATTCTGCTTCACATGCGTCTAGGCTGTGCAACTGAGTAGTATCGTAAATCCTTACACAAAATGTGTAGCTAGTAGCCTGTCACATCAAGGATCTGTTTCGAGTAATTGAGTTCTAACGGTTTAATTTATGACATTAGTTTTGACAAAAGAAATACTCTGAAAAACTCTTGCCCATCAACCGGTTAGATACAGCCATCTCAAGAGTTAGCCTACCTGAATCAGTACACTTACTGAGGTGAATTGAAACACTCTGGAAGTATAAAAACTGTCCTCATTTTTGAAATTATCCCGAGAAAAGATGAGTACATTGCAGTTGGCTTCAGGTCAATCAGAACTAGAAATTCGTTAGTTCGTCATACTATCATTGTAGTCTTCTGACTTTTGTTTAACTTTTCAAATCAGCTGAATTTTTCTCAGTTCATTACATAAAATGCAACTTTTATTTTAGAGCAAACGTCTACTACTTTCTTTTTCTCTCATGTAATTACATACTGTAGATTTCTGGTTATACTGTCTCCGACTTGAGTCAGTAACTTGAAGTGAGACGTTCTATTGTTGTCTCGGTTGTTTGGTAGATGCGTTCTCATCATCTAAAGTAGGCATACACAGTAGCATTAAGAACTTCCTAGCAGTGTTATTGCAACTATGATTCGTAGATTTATGTTACTTCCAAGGAATTTACAACTGTGTCAGTTACCATTGGACAATTTCTTGAAAGTAATATGCATATATATATGCGTATATATATGTTCATACTAGTTCACCTGCTCTTGTGGAGTTGAGTATGTTGGCTGTACCATGCGTCAGCTTGTAAAATGTACTCAGGAACACTATCCAGTCTGGCTAACAAACTGAGAGTACAAGTGGGTACATAGTTCGGTGACAGAACATTTGGTGAATTCAGGACAACCATCTCCATTCGGATAGTCCTTCAAAGTCATATACAAGTCCGATCAAACCACTCCAAGGGAGTGAGATCAAGGCATTTAGGCATAAGTGAATCACTAGTGATCCAAAAGTTCAAACCCACGCTATGTATTCAAGAGAAATACATTCAATTATTGTCTCTACCATGGCTAACATAAAAGGTCAATTATTTCAATAGTGATTGTCGTATTATGTTTTTATCCGAACTTCCTGTCTAGTTTGTTATTATTACATTTTCAATCCCACAAATGCATAAGAAGTTAATTTTCTCAGTAATTATGATACAGAAGACTAGTTTCGCATATGACAGTTTACACTGTCTCCGGCGTAGACGTGATATTCCACTATCGACCGAAGGACATGTGTACTGCTCAGCAGTCCGCTCCGCTCTCCTTTATGACTGTGAGACCTGGCCTTTGAGGACGTGAAAAGGCTAGCTGTCTTTAATCCTAGGTGCCTGCGTTCTATCTTTTGTGATTGTTACGTGTTAGGCGTGATAAGGTGAACAATATTGAGGTCAGGCGTCGAGTGATAATATGTGCATTTAACACGTTTTAATGAATGAATATACAGTGGTCCCCTAACTGATACCATTCCCTGTTCAAACATGTAACAAATCAAATACCTACTAACTACCAACTCTTGAAAATTAATGAATATAGTTCACTAGCTAACATTATGTGATTCTCGGTATACTAAAACAGATTCATACATTTTTTTAAAGAAGTTTCGCTTCTTTTTCTACAATTTATCATCATGGATAGATTCTAATTTTTGCTGTTGTTAAATTTAGGTGTAAAGTCGATACATACTCACCAAATCTACCGTCTACATCTGTGATAATCTGTTTTCACAATGAAGCTTGGTCAGCTTTATTGCGTTCTGTACATTCAGTGATCGATCGATCTCCAGCAATTTATTACGTGAAGTTATACTGGTTGATGATTTTTCTGATCTACGTAAGTTTTGATTTATTTCTGTGCATAAGAGTGTTAGTGTTTTTGTACACCTGCTTCAGTGTTTAATTTTTGTTTGCATAAATAGGCTTTCTTTTCACAATTTGATATTAGGTTATTCGGCTTACTCATAATAATAATGAAAATGCCATCATTCCAATTGGCAGTGGGATGGTTCACCTCCTATGAATTCTTGATTTAATTCCCAATGTTTTAGTCTGTATTATCGACCAAAGTGTCAGGACATATCTTTTTGTCATGTTTAGATGTTATCAGTCTATTCATCAGTCGTACGACCATTTCTTAAGAGAATGTTCTGTATTGAATAGGTTATTATGTGGTCAGGACATTGATATCCTCATATGTTGTCCACGATTTACACACTGAAATGTCACAGGACACACTAAGGTTTACTTCGATTTATTATGAGCGGATTAGCCATATTGTGTCATTGGGATAAGCTTCATTAATTCAATCTTTCTTATTATTCTTTTCTGTGTTGTTTTTTGTTTCTTTGTTGTTTTTTCGACGGAAACTTCAGCTCATTTGAAAGAAGCACTGGAGGAATATATGGATATGCTGAAAGTTGTTAAAATTGTTCGTACCAAACAACGTGAAGGTTTGATTAGAGCTCGAATGCTTGGCGCGGAGCATAGTACTGGTGATGTGCTTGTATTTCTGGACTCTCATATTGAATGTACTACAGGTATACCCTTGTTCTTTTACATACGATTATTAAATCTGACTGACCTTTGGATTTAAGTGATTCACTTTTCCTAGCACATTCCACCCGCCAGCAAACAAGCAAGCAAGCCAACAAGTGGTAGCAATAATAATAATAACTAGTTTTAAATAGGTATCAAGGTATACAAGTTTTCTTTTCCATTCCGTGCGTTTCGAATGGAACATCATAGAGCTTCAAACTTTGAAGTTTCGGTAGCTATGGTGACTCTTTTACAGACTGGCATTGCTAGTGTCACTCCCAACCCTCTCTCCCTCTCTTCCCCTGTCATCCTTCCAACTAGGCGATGTTTACGAGTGAGTCAGCTGGGAGTCGAACCCTGAAGTCCTGCGTGGTTGATGGCCATTCTACTGTTGAACCACTGATGCATTAAATAGTAATCAGTTTAGTTAAATACTAATATATGCACAAATACTCGTTTTGATTCCCAAACTTGTATAGATGTCAGAAAGCTGAGTTGTAAGATCGTCAGTCTAGCAATTCCCTTGACTGGTTTTCCACCCCTACCAAAAACCTTGTTTTAGTACTTCCTTCGTTCGTGAATGTTTTCATCGAATACTTCAAAGAGTTACCCAGAGAAATCCTATTCTAAGTATAGGAAAGAATCAGTGTGCTATCCTGTTCTGTTTATCTGTGAAATGTTGTAAAACAATTAGTACAAGTATATTATGGCACGTCGTATTCTAAGGTGCATTAAAAGTTTAAAATAACTGTATATAACAATTTCCATTGATGTGTATTGCAGTAGCCTGTAGTTACAACATAAATTGTGTTGTTTGTACTGAGTGCATTAGATTCCCACATCGATCTCAGATTAATGGTCTCTGTTGATTTCCTGATCCTAATTGGCATTGATAACCTCATCTGTGCTTCTGTAATTGAAATAATACCGTCTTTATAAATGAAAGAGGCGATTTCTTTTAGATTTCTCCTGTCTATACTAACTGATGCATGTTATTGTTGGTTGGTTAGTTATCTTCAAATAGACTCAACTACATTTTTGTTTGAAAAGATTACATTCAATGTTCAATGGTTAAGTCGTGTATAGATACGAAAATGTAAAGAAATTATCTCTATCGTTCAGTAAGTAATCAATACTTCTAGTTTCAATGAATGAATGAATGAATGAGTGAATTAGGCTTTCAACTTCTATTGACCCGCATAGAACTATGATATTTAATTATGTATTACAATTATTATTATTATTATTATTATTACAATTATTATTATTATTATTACTATGTCTTGTTTATTGGTCAACTGTACACTTGTAAATCAATTGAGTATTTACGGAATGAAGACTTTTCGTCTAATCTGATTGTGGTGTGCATAGTCTTGTGAGTTATGTATCTACCATCTGTTGTATGAAAAGAAAGAACTTCTAATTTTTGGTTTACTCCTTTAATTGTCATTCAGCTCTAGATACTGAATTATTAACAAGTTTTCTATACTGATGATAATGACGGTGACGTGGAATTGTGCATTTCTCATACCTTCTTTTACTTTGAGCAGTTCTTTCTTTTATTGTTATTATTATTGTCCATTCATAATAATAAGAAATACACCATATAAAAGGATATTTCCAATGTTTAGGATATTGTTTAGTAGTTGGCTAATGCGTTGTAAAGCCGCGCTTTGAAAGACGAAGAAGGATGACAATTAGGCTGTGTCGTAGTACAGTTACAGTATTTATAAAATCCATGGTAATTCGAAGTGATATTTTTGCAATGTACGTCTAGTCTTGTAATTGTACACAACTACACATAGAAGTTTATCCACTTCTAACTGTCTAATTCTGTTAGACGACGCAGATATTGAATGGTGGAAGTGTATTTTTGACTGAAGCTAAGGCTCGTTCTCTTCACGTAATTGTGTTGGTGAAACCACCTAGTGGTTTGTGGAATAGACTGTGACATGTAGAATATACTTCGTGATGTAAGAGATAATGCTATACGAATATTTGGACATTCTGAAAGCTGTATGCAAATACATCTGGAGTAAATTCAGAGTTTACTGTCCTTAGCCATCCATAGGTTTAGACAAGTGTGACCACTTTCAGTATCATTTCCTTTTAATTTTGGCATTTGGTGACATTGAGAAGATTACTCTGAAGGGGATATGTGTGGTGGATAGTTCAAATCAGTTGTCTCATGACAGTCCTCTTTATATTAAATGTGCAGAATATATTGTGGTACTATGGTGTAGCATACTTCTGTTGCAAGTAATCTGGTTCGCCATTGGTATCTGTGTTCAGGAGTCGTTAGCTTGAGACGATAGCAGTACGGACAGTTTTGTAACAGGAAGAATATTCGTAGTGGAAGGAGGTAGTTAATTTTGCTGTAGTGAATGGAATGCAGTAGGTAAATTTCGAATAAATGAGTTTGAGGTACTGATAAACGCGTGTGAGTAGTTGGTACTTTTTGCCTGTCCACATTGGCTACTTGCGGATGATATTCTTGATTGTGTTATCTCGAGCATTTTGTTTAGATGCACAATGGCCACGTACTTTGCAATAACAATTTCGCTTTATTCCAGAAACAGTACTTGTGGTACAGTGTGGAATTTTCAGCACAGATGCGGATTGTTGTTTGATTTCGAAACTGTATTGCTCAGAAAATTAGTCCTGCAACCAGGATACTCAGGTCGAAATTGACTACATCCTGTACTGTCAACATTGTTTTCTTTTTATCGATTTTCCACCTGTTTAACTGCTCAGACAAACAGAATTAATTGTGTATTATTGTTTCTTGCAGGTTGGCTTGAACCACTTTTAGAGCGTATTGCTTTTAATTCGTCAATTGTTGTTGTTCCAGTGATATCAACAATAAATGATAAGGATTTACACCTTAGTATACTTAAGCATCAAGATGTTCAAGTTGGCGGTTTTGATTGGGGTTTAACATTTCGTTGGCATGAACAGACTCACCGTGACAAAAATAGACCTGGTGCACCATATTCACCTGTCAGGTAAGTGATTGGTGTTTAATTCTCATTTAAGAACTGCTTGATATTGTTAAGTTTAGGATTGAATTCCTGCATCCTGCTCTGCGACAATCTATTGAAAATGTGATGACATTATTCTATTCTAATTATTATACGTGCGTCAGTGGCACAGTGGAAGAGTGCTCGCCGACCACCAAGTTGGTCAGGGGTTCGATCCCCAGCCGACTCACTCCTCTGCCTCGGTAAGCCACTAATAAGACTGGTAAAGAGGGAAGGTTTGGCATGGGCATACCAACTCCATCCTGTAAAAATAATCACCACTGCTTTAGGAACTTCAAACCTCTAGGTTTAAACCCTATGTTCCACTGGGAACGTCAAGAAATAAAAAAGTTATTTTATAGTTCAGTGAACATTTGGTATTCGTTTTGTCAAAGCAAAATATTCCATTCTTATAAATTAAAGAGTCATAATGCCTTTGAAACCACACACCTAGAAAACTTTTGTAAACGAGACAGTGACAAACAGCCTTCATAAACTAGTTACATCCACTCAAACATTTGTCCATCAATCATAACAATCATGTAAATATTTTATTGTTTCTAATTATCATTCCTTCATAGATTCGTATTCTCTTAGGAAATTGGGCGAAATATTTCTAAGTTTCGATAACGTTCGTATTCATATGGTGTACTTCTCCATAAAAGATGAGTGTGACTATGGAATTCAAATTTCCATATATTTTAAAGTGATATACATCTCATGTATTTTTGCACTAACATCTAATCCTAAAATCTCTACCATTCAGTATTGCGATCTCCAAGTATGTGATGATCTTTCAGATGCGTTGATTTTCACTACCAGCTACTCTCAATCTGTCTCTCTCTGTATATATATGTTCTAACTTAACGGAGTTATATATACGCTATATCATAACATACATTCGAAAAACTGATGATATCTCCCTCTAAGCACAAGCTACCAGTTGTCGTTAACTAGGTATCTGTGCTGGTGAGAGGGGGCGATCCTGATGCTATTTACATTTCTCATGAGGTTCCAAGCCATTTCACCTATTGGTGAAGTTAGAGACTTTTATGGTAAACTGAGATGTTGGTTGTTTATGTCGACTGTCCACCTATACAATTTATAAAATGTGATAACTGTGAAATTATAAGCAGATTGAATGCTTTAGTTGGACAGTGAAATGCAGTTAATCTAACTTGCGTGGCATTTAAGTTAGTGAGTGTCAGGTAGAATAGAATTTGGACTTAAAACTGTTATTTTCCAGTGATTTTTATAAAGGATGATCTCTTTTGTTCAAAATACATGAGGAGATTTCGCTTACATTTTTAGTAACACTAGGTCACACGTAAAGTCTCATTCAAAGAACAATTGATTATTTCGAACAATTGATATTTTTAGAACTATAGATCATAGAGAATAACTAAACCATGAGATTGGATTTCATGCATCGGTGACCTGTACATATTTTAGTAATTTCAAGCTATTGGGCCATCCATTTTAAAGTTTCGTTTAGTGGTTGACGATAGTAGTGTATCCGTCACATAAAGTGTGACAACTCACTTTCAACAAAAGGTTTGATTGATTTTGATGTTGAGTGGTGAGTTTTAACTCTACAATATTCATGTATGCCTCTTCTCTTGTTGAGAGGTACTCACCAGGTCAGATATTGTTTTAACGTGGATACAGGATGGTAAAATTTGGTTATTCTGATTATACCTGATAATGGACAGAGCTCCTTTCTTCTCCACGTTGTCTGAAAACTAAACTGTGTGTTCATTGTTGTTCCACTTCACTTAATTCATCATATTAATTCATCCTCACTTCTTAAAAATTATTTTGTTTAAATTCATGTTTGTCAGTTAGAAAGAATAGAATAGGCGTTGAATGCACCATTTGAGATGTCATTTTATTGAATGTGTCTTATTATTCTTTTTTCTCTAACATCTCCTTGATCAGTATTCACAAATTTATAACATCCTAATAACCATAATTATTTTTTCGATTAATTGTGAACAATTTATCGTTGGTGATTCAGTCATTATTCATTCTCTGAACTGTATTTTATTGTATAGTGTATGCAATTTATTTGTTTCGATTGATGATAAATGAAGCAGTTTGAGATGAGTAAATTGATGATTTCCATATCACAAATTAGAGAAACCAGGGAGCTTTGTGTCTGTGCTTCACCGTAGTTTGGAATTCTTCAGAAATGAGTGCCTACGACCACACTTGAGATCGAACGCGGGACCTTCAGGCTACGAGGTCGACGAAGCTCGTTGGACATTCAACCACTTGGGTAGGAATTGAGGGAGCTGTGAATTCCAGTTTTGTTATTTCGTAACATAGCACTACCGCCGGGTGCACACTGATGAAGATTCCTAAAATAGAAGTGAATAGCTATCCAGTGGTGCTTGGTTTTCACTGACTGCCTAGCTGATATTGGTTTGCAATGAAGTCTACATAGTGACTAAGTGAAATGTAGTCGAACTTGATAACTGGTGACAAGTGTGATCTGTTGAATTCTCTCTATGAATTGTAATTTAAAACGAACAAAAAATAAAAACAACTGTCACATTGATTTATTTTTGGAATAAATGTCTGTATGATATGCAACAATTTGATGCAAAATGAGCATGATTAGATGATTTCTGGAGTTTGATGAGTGTCATTGTGTGAAATTAATAGTAATAAGTGTTGAAAAGCGTTATCATTTATGACGTGTATGATTTTTATCATATACAATAATATATACATATCCATCATAGAATAATTTAACTTGATACATAACATTCAGTGATACAGCATTATTTACTGATGACGTTTCGAGTACAATTTATTGATTCTAATCTCTCCAAGACTCTGACAAGACACGGACTTCTAAACCTCGTTTATATAATTCCACTACTTCTTATCTTTTATTTTTATTAGCAGTAATATTTTCCATATCTCTGATATTGGCGTCGAGTCATTGTTATTTCATGAGTTGGATGTAGATTCGATGAACGAAAATTCAGTGATCGGTCAACCTGTGTTACTCTCTAGTCCTTTAACTCAGTCACACTTATTGTGGACTGGCTGTCACTGAATGCCTTTAGGTTTCTGGGTTTTTGTCTGAAAGGCAGTGGAATTATATCAATAAGGTTTGTAAGTTCTGTGAGTTCCTTGATATGACTACAGGCGATAAATTTTGCTCTGAACGTCATCAGTAAATAATCCTGTATCGTCGCCTGTTTTCATCAAACACAAGTATTCTATAATGGGATTATACTTTACCAAAGTGTCCAAATTCCATTCTGATACAACAACTATTGATCATTTAGATATCACATATCACATATAGAAATATCAAACCGATTAGGTCACAAATCCCAAAACTATACGGACGCGTAAAAATAGACAAACCAGGAGCGCCGTTAAGACCCATACTCTCTATGATAAACTCACCATACCACAGACTAGCACAGTGGTTATGTGAACTGTTGCAGCCATTGCTGGACAGGACAGTACATGCATTTCAAGAGCTTTGTCCCAATCCAGTACAAAAAGAACCTACTCAGAACACTGTTCAATAGAGCACGAAAAATGTGTTCTGACAGTACTATTGAACAGGAAATAAAATCTCTGAAGGATATTTTATCTAAGAATGGATATCCTGAGAAGTTCATTAATAAATACTCTAAAGAAACTACCCCCTGCAAAACAATTCAAACAGTTCCAAAGAAACCTGTCCATATCAATTTGCCGTTCAAAGGAGATGACGTACAAGAAGTAGTGAAACGAAGACTCGACAAAGCCATCAAGGGAACTTATTATGCTGCAAAACTTGTTATCCTTAACACCACCAAGCGAGTGCTTCAACAATCTGGGAAAGACCAATCGCCAATCCTCGACACTTCAAAGTGCATATATCAATTTGAGTGTGTTTGTGGCAGCAAATACATAGGTCGTACGGAAAGGCGATTGTCTACTCACATGATGGAGCATTTGCCAAGATGGTTGAAAACAGCTGAGTTCAAAGTGCCAAAATCCTCAATAACAAAACATCTTGTAGATTACGGACATGATATCGACGCAGTCAAGTCATTTACCATTGTCAGCAAACAAAGAAACAAGAAGATGCTTGCAATTGCAGAGGCTTGTGCAATTCGAATTTATAAACCAGCTCTCTGTATACAAAAGGAGATGGTCGTGACTCTTAATCTACCATGGTAATACGTTTTATACCCTACTTGTTATTATTCTACCTCTTCTTCTTACTACTGTTGTTATTATTATTACCATTAGTATTAGTATTATTCTTGATTCGTCTAAAACTATGCTTTATCAGTAAAATTATCTTAACTCAATTCAACACTATTAAAACTGTTATTATAGCTATTACTATTGATATTAGTCTGTTTGCAATTCTCGTTATATTCCCTAATGACTAATTGTTTATCTAAGTGATGTAATTGAAGCGTAATGCAATTTATCTTAATTTTGATCTCCCATACTCTCTCTCCCCTTATCTATTCGAACATGACCTGGAAAACATTCGCACGTGTCTTTCTGCATGATTAATTCAATGTAGTTTGTTTACTTATCAGTCTTATATCTCCCAATGTAATTTCAAAAGTATATATATCCGTGTATGTAGAGTATTCAGTTGACGAGTTCTACCGAAATTTGATGAATTCATTAAATCCTGTTTTATTAACCTTTATTGCTTGTTTTAGACTAAATTTACGTCTCAGTAAAGAGTAGCTGTCAAAAGTTTGGTATGTTTGTCGATGTACGCGTGATACATTTTATAACTGAAACGTTTGTAGTGGAGTGAGTGGAAGATGTAAATTGTAGATGCATACTGTTGCGTTGATTTCACAATTGAGCGAAAATAACAGGATAGATGAATAATGGCGTTTGAAAGTCTTCACTTGATTTCCATGATTAAAGTGAACTGCACTTCAGTGTATTGATTGATATCTGCAGTCGCCACTTTCGGATAGCTGACATAGATGAATCAA